GGGTGATGTGAGAAGGAGGTCACTGACCAGACCTGACAAAGTCACACCCACAGGCTTTAGACGTCAGCAGGACCAGTTAGTGTAATAGGCCTTAGGCGTCAGCCTAAACTCTAATTAGAGATTTCGCCCGGTAGGATGAGCAATTGATGAACCACTCAACACCTAACCGATTATTGATGTATTTTCTTCTGTTATCTATAATTATGCATATGATGTATTACTGCTTTATAAGGGGCCTACCAGCTCTAATAAACATTCTGACTTTTTCATTAACCTAGAAACTTGTGTCTGGTGTGAATTACTCAGGAAGTGTGCACGCACTATCTAATTGATTTGGAAAGGGGCAGATACTGCTTTATAAGGGGCCTACCAGCTCCCCGGAATAAACATTCCTGACTTTTTCATTAACCTAGAAACTTGTGTCTGGTGTGAATTACTCAGGAAGTGTGCACGCACTATCTAATTGATTTGGAAAGGGGCAGATACACAAATTTATCATAAATATATATATAGTGATATAATACCATTTGTGCATATGTATGTATGCATAATACTTCCACAAATCATATGGATAAAGCAAAGCTATATTAAAATTTTTTATTCAACATGTCATTTAAAAAAAAAAAAAACATATATTATTATTATTATTATTGCAATTTATAAAGCGCACACAGATTCCGCAGCGCTGTACAATTAGTTGAGAAACGTACAATATACACAAACAAATACAAGAGGTAAGAGAGCCCTGCCCGTAAGCTGATATCTAGCCATTGGAGCTCTTTTATACAAAGTGCTTAGCTAGATGGCCCTTGAGCTTACAATCTAAAGGATACCAGGGGGATTTGAGACAAAAGGTAGCAGGGGAAGTTTGGAGGTGATGGCTGAAAGAGGTAACAGAGAAGCAGCTATTGGAAGATGTTAGCGGGAGGAGGGGAGGGTGGGTGGGAAGTGGGGAGAAAAAATGCAGTCTTCACTGAGTTGATTGTGAAGTGAGGCCTGAGGAATAGAGATAGAACAGTCAATGAAGGTATTTACGACTGGGGAGGGGAAAAGGAGAGTGTGAGAGGGGGAGGGGGGGGGCAGAGTAGACATGTGTTCTAGACTATTGAAAAGTTTAGCAATCAAATTCTATCACCCAAAATATTAATAACTGTCTACATGAAATATTGGTCACAAACATTAAATGACAGTGGTACACACTGCGTGCACATAACATTACAGTGGCAAACTACAGGTATCAATTGTAACAACTCTATATAGGCATACACACAGCTTTTTGATCAATGGATACTCACTCGCACGTACTGATGCCCACACATACACACACTTACACTGGCCCACAATGATCCATACTGACACACATACAATGATCCATACTGACACACACATTGACACATACTGACACACACACATACAGTGACATATGCTGACACATACACAGTCATCCATACTGACACACACAAACAGTGATCCATGCTGAAACACACGCACAAACACAGTGATTTATACTGACGCAAACATTGATCCATACTGATTCACATACACAGTGATCCATACTGACACACACACACACAGTGATCCATACTGAAACTCACACACACACAAACTAATCCATACTGACACAAACATTGATCCATACTGATTCACATACACAGTAATCCATATTGACACTCTAACACACACACAAACTAATCCATACTGACACATACATGGATCCATACTGACACACACACACACATAGTAATCCATATTGACACATTTATTGATTCATGCTGATACAAAAATTAATCCATACTGACACACACACAGTGATCCATGCGGACACGCTCACACACACACAAAATAATCCATACTGACACATACATGGATCCATACTGACACACACACACACAGAGTAATCCATACTGATACATACATTGATCCATACTGACACAAACATTGATCCATACTGACACACACAGTAATCCATACTGACACATGCATTGATCCATACATTGGTCCATACTGACACTCACACATAGTAATCCATACTGACACAAACATTGATCCATACTGACACTCACACACAGTAACCCATACTGATACATACACTGATCCATACTGACACTCACACACGGTAATCCATACATTGATCCATACTGACACATACATTGATCCATACTGACACCCACACAGTAATCCATACTGACACATACATTGATCCATACTGACACTCACACACAGTAATCCTTACTGACACTTACATTGATCCATACTGACACATACATTGATCCATACTGACACTCACACACAGTAATCCGTACTGACACTTACATTGATCCATACTGACACATACATTGATCCATACTGATACATACATTGATCCATACCGATACATATATATATATATATATATATATAGTGATATAAAACCATTTGAGCATATAATCCTTACTGATACATACATTGATCCATACTTACACATGCATTGATCCATACTGACACTCACACACAGTAATCCATACTGACACATACATTGATCCATACTGATAGAAACATTGATCAGTATGGATCCATACATTGATCCATACTGACACCCACACACACAGTAATCCATACTGACATATACATTGATCTATACATTGATCCATACTGATAGAAACATTGATCAGTATGGATCCATACATTGATCCATACTGACACCCACACACACACTAATCCATACTGACATATACATTGATCCATACATTGATCCATACTGACACAAACATTGATCCATACATTGATCCATACTGACACTCACACACAGTAATCCATACTGACACAGACATTGATCCATACTGATGCTCACACACAGTAATTCATACTGACACATACGTTGATATATACTGACACATTAACACACAGTAATCCATACTGACACATACATTGATCCATACTGACACAGACATTGATCCATACTGATGCTCACACACAGTAATTCATACTGACACATACGTTGATCCATACTGATACATATATTGATCCATACTGACACTCAGACACAGTAATCCATACTGACCCAAACATTAATCCATCATGACACACACACACTAATCCATACTGACACACACACACACACACACTAATCCATACTGACACACACATAATACCATCAAAAACACCTCCCACACACAATTAAACACTCAAATATACACACACCCTAAGAATCTTGGAAATGAACATAAAATACCTGGGTGCCACTGCTTACTGAGCCCACCTTTCTCCTTGATCTGTGCTCAGCTCCTGGCTGAGAACCAGCCTGCCCGCAGCTCTGTCCGGCCCCCTGCTCACTCCTCTCCCTGCCTGCCAGCACTTTACACACAGGAAGCAAAACGTCACAGGACCCGCATGGGCTGCCCTGCTCTGCCTGATTACCAGGTCACATGCTTCCTGTGTGTGAAGGCTGTCAGGCAGGCACCAGGACAACTTCCCTCCCCTGCTCCTTATGCTTCACTCGCGAGAAGCATTGAAAGTTTACTTTGGAGTGCCTGCTGCTCAGAGTGCATAAAGCACAGTGCAGATCTAGAGTTGAGAGGAGACCATCACTCCTGAGCTCATCAAGCCCCCGACATGACTGTGTGTACTGGGTGAGGGGAGGAGAAGATTCTGCACTGTGTGGTCCCAAGTGCCCCGGCCCATCAGGAAATTTCCCAGTATCCCGGTGGGCCAGTCCGGCCCTGCTAGTGAGGACCGGGATATCCCCCACCGGTCCAAAGGGTTGAGTGGACAGGGCTTTGTGCTTGCCGGTTGTAGCCCAAGGTTGGGAATCTGCCACCTTCCCCGTCTTCAGGTGCTACTGTAGACCGCAGATAAAGTAATTTTGCTGAGCTGGGTTAGCCAGTGACATGCAGAGCAGGGCTGAAAAGATTGGCAGAGTATTCCTCAGGGCTTAGACAAGTATTGCCCAGTAAACAGAACTATAAAGTCCAATTTAGGCTCAGTGTGAGCTTTTCCCTGAGGAGCTCCAGCACCCTGCCACTGTCTCGGTCAGCTGTCCGGCCCTGCCCCATTTACAGACAATAGGATTTTTAAATATATATTTTTTAATTTTTCAGTTGACACTAGGTTTTATTTGAGATGATTAATATGTCATTGAATTTGCATAGTTATTATTGGTTACTAATATGTGTTATTCTTATTCCTCATGCCTCCTTTTTTTCTTAAACTTTGTTTGCAATACTTGGTCTGGCTTCATTGTGGTCTCCATCTGGAACAAACCTATGGTGATTGGATTCACACCACACTTTAATACTTGAGGCTTCATCTTTTACTACATGAGATCCAACTGGCCACTCACCTCTCTCTTCAAACATGTCTCTGTTGCTCTTCATATTTTTTTCATTGTGGTGATTTTGATCTACCTGGCTGAGTTTTGCGGTGTCTTTTCCTTCTACAGGCATAGAGAGAAGCTCATAGGGCACGTTTTTTTCCACTGGTGCTACTGACGTTTTTTGTTTCCTTTTTTTTTTATAAATCCCCTATTCTGAACTTGAAATGACTCTTACTCCCCATTTTACGTAGTACAAGATAGAAAAGGAAAATTATTACAATCTGTTATTCTAAAACTCTTTCAATTCTTATTTTTATTTCTTTATAGATATAGAATAATATGATTTTGGCCACTCAGAATTGGCATTGTAGAATTGGCTAATATTGCATGGCCATTAGGAAAGGCAACATTGCAGCCATTGTTTGCATGTCAGCCAGTTATAAACACTCATGTTTAATGCTTTTATGGCTGTCCACATGGTTTTCAAAGAGCATCATGAACTAAACTCTCTTGACCTCAAAGATATTTTTTATTTTCTGCCTAATTGCTTTGGAAGAACCAAAGATTTTCCCCTTTTCACCAGCTTTTCCCAAATCTAACGCCTGGGCATTACTGCCAATATTAATACTACAGGGTGCATGGCATGTGCCTTTAAGTGATTTAAAAAAATAGATTTTATTTTGATTTTGTTACATAGATGTTAATTTGTTTAGGACCAATTTGCAATCCAGTCAAAGTCCCTGAAATCTTCCTGCTCTTTTTCTGTAAGTTCCTTTGTCCCGTTTGGAGGTGTTAAGATGGGATCTTCTGAGGTATACTCATCGAAATTCCTAACATCTTCAATTCCATCGATGGTTGGTATAAAGGGGGGCTTCACATTCTTAGCTAATAATTCATCCCAGTCTATCTCCTGTTAACAAATTAAACGTTTTAGTGGAAGACAGTGGTTTCGACAAAGATAACGAATATGCATCATTAAGTCATAATATTAAGATGAAAAATATAGACTTGCAAAAATCTGAAAAACTAAATTCTACACAAGTTACAATGTAATTCACAAATAAATTATTAAAGTCACCGGATAGGATGACACGTGCATTCATTAGTGGAAGAAAGTCGTTTCGACAAAGATAAATGTCCTTTGTTTCACTGTGCTCACACACATGCAAATACAGGGGACATTTTACATTGGCCGTTTAATGCCTTCACGGGCATGAATTTAATGCAAATATACATAAGTACATACATTTAAATAAGCATCCAAATGAACTTATGTTTATTTAGGTGTTAGAATGTAGGTTTCCACAGATGTGACATGTGACAATTTCACTTGGAACTAAAAACAAGATTGAGGTAGAATATACCATTCCCCTCTATATACCTATGGCTTGTAGATGAACAAAATGGACTTACTTGAAAGAATGGATTCCACTTTACATCTTCTGCGTCATATTCACTTGCCCCTAGACGGTCCTCTGGATTTATGTTGAGAAACTGTAAAATAATTTTTTTTTTCTTAAAATGGCATTTGGTATTTTGATTAAAATAAATAAACTCATTAATTAATTAAAACAAATTTCAAGCAGGTTATCCAGATAATGTACTGTCCTGATTACTATGATTCTTCTTGTTTTTTTATTTTAATTAAAATGAGTCTCCAAACATAACATTATTCTGTATCTTTTTGTAGCTAGATCCATATGTGCCTGTAACTGCCTGTCCCATTCTGTTATAGTCAACCACACTGTGCTCTCTAAAATTCAAGTTAAAAACACTAAACATGCATTGGCAACATACATCTTCGATTACATCGATGGTTTCTACAGACAGGACAGACATGAACTCCGGACAGCTGAATCTGCGATTGATGATGTTATTTATCTTTTCAAATTCATCTTCGCCGTCAAAAGGAGTCTAAAGTAAAAAAAATAAAAAGCTGAGTTCTGTAAATCTGATGAATTATCTTGTTGATAAGCACACATTGGTATATAGTGTTTTGCTTGTCGAGTCAGGATTCCGTCCATTAATTCTTAATAAACTATTCTTACCACTCCTGCCAGCATTGTATATATGACCACTCCCAGACTCCACCAATCCACAGCTTTGGTGTAACTTTCGTGCTTGAGGATTTCGGGAGCCATGTAATCTAGTGTTCCACAATGACTTGTGGTTCGGTCTCCATATCCAATTCCTCAGAGAGAGACAAAAGTTAATTATATTTAAATTGAAGATGTACATTCCCTGCCTTTAAAGTAACACTATAGGGTATTCCTGGTCCAATAGTGTTAAAACCATTATTTAGGTGGTTTAACCCTCCCCTCCCCCCCTCTAATAGCCTTTAGAAAGGGTTAAAACCTCTACCCAGCGCCGCAAGGGTCTGCCGGAACTGACCCCACCCAATCTGCCTCTGGCTGACATCAGAATTGAGCTAGGGGCTAGGGGGGGTGTCAAAAGTCGACCTGGCCAATCCCCATCTCCTCATAGAGATCCAGTGAATCAGTGTATCTCTATTAAGAACATGGAGATGCTGAACGGCAGTGCTGCACACTGAGGAGTGGCCACTGGATGTGTCACTGGGCTTAAATGTAAACTAGTGTTTGCATGAAAATACCTGCAGGGCCATACTATAGGGACTGAACAACTACAATGAGCTGTAGTTGTTTTGGTGATTATTATTATAGTGTCCCTTTAAGTTACATTCCCGTACATCTGTCAGTTAGGCATTTGTTCATTAGAGACACTGAATATTTTTGTATAGTTTTTTCTTATTACAGTTTTTTAAAGTAATTTCCTGAGATCGAATCCACATATTGGTTTGTTCAATGATCCCTTGTTACAAAGTATATATTGATTTGTGCTTTTGATATCTTTTTGTTTATGTAATTTTTAATTTTAATTATGTACAGAATTAGATTATGTTTGAATGAGGCTAAATTTAAATGTGGGATTTATTCACAATTGTAATTTAATTTTTTTATTTCCTTTGTATGCCTGGCTATCCTGGCACAGCTAGGGCACACTATGTAAATTAACTTGCAATATGAACACTAAAGTGCAGGTCCTTTCATGTGGTCTAAAGTCTGTTGGCGCCATATCCCAGTTTTATGTCAAACCTTTTAGAATTGGTTTGAAACCAATTTTTGTTCTCTATATCCTCATCTGCCACATTGGTTATGTCGGGTTAACAGTTCCATATAATCATTGTCTAGATCTATTTCCCCTAGAGCCTTGTAGCTATTTTATCTACTTTAATATTGCATGTTTGATTTTGTACTTATTAAAATCAGACTAGAAAAAAGGACCAAAAAAAGCAATTTTTACATTTTCAAAGTCTTAATGGTTGTTTAGGAAACAAGCACACATTAGTTTTTAAGCTGAATTTTAAGGATTTAATTTTATATGTGTAAAGCCCGCACTGATGTTACAGAGGCATTCGTTAATTTATCAAATATCTATGTATAAATGTAAAATTATATCTACCTTCCTTACTAATACCGAAGTCAGTTATTTTTGCAAATCCTTCCTTATCCACAAGTATATTCTCTAATTTAAGATCCCTAGATTAAAAAGCAGAAAAAATGTTTTTAATAATGTTTACATAATTCTAGAGGACACTTGGATGCAGGTATTAATGAGTTTCCTAGTTTAGGCTTTTAAAAAGGTTACATTTAAAACCATAACATAGAAAAACAAATAGGTTTAAGCACAGGCAGTGCTGTAAATATAACAAATATAACTGCGCAATCCACTTTGTTTTTGCGCTTTACACTTACCTGTGGATAATCTTTTGGGAATGCAAATATTCCAAGCCAAGCACAACACAAGCAGCATAAAATCTATGAAAAAAAAAGAAACGCGTTGGTTACTTTTAAGATGATAAAAAAATGCAATCTTTGTACTATTGAAAAGTTATTTTCCACAAATCCTGTGTCACTCTATGGTCTGACATGGTGACTTTTAATGTAACACTCTCAGCCAATCCATATTGACTAAAGTTGGTTATGCTATTGCAGAAGTATAAAATTCTTCTGTTGTATAGAATGGAAAGACCGTGGGACCTGGACAGTCAGGTAAGTGTAAAATAACGATTATCTTTCCCAATAATCTAACTAGACTCTATGGAATGTATTGCCTACCTCAATGCCAGCAGCTGCTAAACACTGCATTACAGGTTTAGAAATATGGGCACAATGCTGCTTATACTTACGTCGCTCTGGGCTCTGTTAATGCACCGTTGCTGTTGTAAACGTTTGTAACAAGGTCCCCGCCAGGAGTGTATTCCATGACAAAGCAGGCATGATGTGTGGTCTGGAAACAACCAAACAGGTTTACCAGAAATGGATGGCGCATGCTGCTTACAGATTGGAAAATGTGCTTCTCACTCATAAGACTGGATAAGGAACAATAAGTCAATTATTTCCCTGATCTCCAAAAAATCATAACAAATAAAATAAAACAGGATAAGGTATGAATAGCTCTGTTTACTGACCGGTGGACCTTTTTTGTTGAAACAATGTCTCCTTTTTTCAGGGCTTTTAGGGCATAGATTTTCTCAGTGTCCTTGTGTTCAGCAAGGAACACCTAAAATTAAAAACAAAGGTATGCATGTGTTCTTATTCTGCATCAATTCATTCAAGTTTGGTACGGCAGAATTGCATTTTTTTTTCTGCCCTGTCATTTTTATTTTGCTTCTTTCCTTTGAAGACTTTTTTTGTGGTTAGATCACAATTTTGGGGGTAGTCTGTATATAAAAAATACATTTAGCAAATCTGCACCTATCTTTCCTACAAACATTTCCAACTATATCATTGTGGTGGATTTTCTGTCTGACAAAAATATAGTATCCAACTGACAAATTTTAAAAGTAAAATAAAAAAAAACAGACCTCTTTAGAAAAATGTACTGACTTATACATATAAATGTAGCACATTCGTTAAATGTAAATGTTTTAAACACTTTGATACATAAACAAAACGCAAAAAGATTCTAGCGTTGTAATGCATTTGCTAAGACACTTTTCCTCGAAAGAGTATTCGAATTCATGCTTAAACTTACTTTCCCGAATTTTCCTCTACCCAGCACACAGCGAAGATCGAAGTCTTCCAGGCTGAGTTGACATTCTGGCTCAATATTGCCAGATGCTGGAAGCACGCTGTTATCAGGTTCTTTTGTTGTTTCTGAGATTATGCTTAGCGACGTTAATTTATTAAAGCATGGATATTCATTGACTGCTCCAGAATCCTAGGAAAAAAGACATGCGCCATAATTTAAAGTTGTTGTTTCCCCCCCACCCCCCCTGTGACAAATGTTGCCTTTGGTCCATGGGTTTGTAATGGTGGGTCTAAAACATTGATTAATAAATAAATGAAGTCGGGGATAGCAGACAAACGAAGAGAAAGCAGGGTATGTTGGAAAATAACTGGAGAAGCAATGTGTGTGGGTGAATTATGAAGAAGAAACAGAGGATGGAGTGATAAAGTGGTGGTGATTTTAGAGGCAACGACTATAGTCATTAAAACTCCTGTATCTGATGCTTCAGGGCAAATGGAAGAATTAAACCACCTACAAAATAAAATGTACATTTCACATATTGGGCTCTGGCTGTACTGATTGTATGTTTGACTCCTGATCATTATAAGACGACATTGTTTACGAGCGGCAAATGAAGAATTAAAAACAAAAACAATGGGTGTGATAGTGGACAAAGAGTGAGTGTGTTTACGTTTTTCACAATATCACACAAATCATTTGCCAGGGATTATCAGGACTTCAGTAATCAAAATTTTCTTTAATGACGAGGTTTGCGTGAATGTGTGGGGAAAAGAACAAAACAAAAAAAGCGTATAGCTTTACCTGAGCCGGTATATCTGTTCTCTCAGTGTGTCCTGAAGACTGATGTTGATCACCATGTGCAGGTGTTGGAGATGGAATAAGAAGTGTCTCCAATGTTACATCAGTGACATCAGTTTCTGGAACTGGTGCAGTTGTTTCACCCTAGAAAAAAAAGACATACACCATAAATTAAATTCCCTCCCCCCCCCCAATGACAATTGTGGCCTTTGGTCCATGGGATTGTAATGATGGGTCTGAAACATTGATTCATAAATAAATGAAGTCGGGAATAGCAGACAAACGAAGAAGAAGCAGGGTATGTTGGAAAATAACTGGAGAAGCAATGGGTGTGGGACAATTATGAAGAAGAAATGGTGGATAGAGTGATAAAGTGGTGGTGATTTTAGAGGCAACGACTATAGTCATTAAAACTCCTGTATCTGATGCTTCAGGACAATTTGAAGAATTAAACTTCGTACAAAATAAAATGTACATTTTACATATTAGGCTCTGGCTGTACTGATTATACTTTTGACTCCAGATCATTATAAGTCGACATTGTTTACAAGCAGCAAATGAAGAATAACAAACAAAAACCATGGGTGTGATAGTGGACGAGGTTTGCGTGAAGGTGTGGGGAAAAGAACAAAACAAAAAAAGAAGCATATAGCATTACCTGAGCCGGTATATCCGTTCTCTCAGTGTGTCCTGAAGACGGATGTTTATCACCATGTGAAGGTGTTGGAGATGGAATAGGAGGTGTCTCCAACGTTACATCAGTGACATCAGCTTCTGGAACTGATGCAGTTGAGTCATTCTAGAAAAAAAAGACATAAACCATAAATTAAACTCCCCGCCCACCCGCATGAAAATTGTGGCCTTTGGTCCATGGGATGTAATGATGGGTCTGAAACATATTGATTAATAAATAAATGAAGTCGGGAATAGCAGACAAACGAAGATAAAGCAGGGTATGTTGGAAAATAACTGGAGAAGCAATGGGTGTGGGAGAATTATGAAGAAGAAACATTGGATGGAGTGATAAAGTGGTAGTGATTTTAGAGGCAGCGCCTAAAGTTATTAAAACTCTTGTATCTGATGCTTCAGGATAAATTGAAGAATTAACCTACCTACAAAAATAAAATGTACATTTTAGATATTGGGCTCTGGCTGTACTGATTTTACGTTTGACTCCAGATTACTGTAAGTCGACATTGTTTACGAGCGGCAAATGAAGAATTAAAAACAAAAACAATGGGTGTGATAGTGGACGAAGAAGCGAGTGTGTTTACATTTTTCACAATATCGCACAAATCATTTGCCAGGAATTATCAGGACTTCAGTTATCTAAATTTTCTTTAATGACGAGGTTTGTGTGAATGTGTGGGGAAAAGAACAAAACAAAAAAAGAAGCGTATAGCTTTACCTGAGCCAGTATATCCGTTCTCTCAGTGTGTCCTGAAGACTGATGTTGATCACCATGTGAAGGTGTTGGAGATGGAATAGGAAGTGTCTCCAATGTTACATCAGTGACATCAGTTTCTGGAACTGGTGCAGTTGTTTCACCCTAGAAAAAAAAATACATACACCATAAATTAAATTCACTTATCCCCCCTCCCCCCAATGACAATTGTGGCCTTTGGTCCATGGGATTGTAATGATGGGTCTGAAACATATTGATTAATAAATACATGAAGTCGGGAATAGCAGACAAACGAAGAGGAAGCAGGGTATGTTGGAAAATAACCGGAGATGCAATGGATATGGGAGAATTATGAAGAAGAACCAGTGGATGGAGTGATGGAGTGGATGGTGGTGATTTTAGAGGCAGCGCCTATAGTTATTAAAACTCCTGTATCTGATGCTTCAGGACAAATTGAAGAATTAAACTATCTATGAATACCAATCAAAGGTTACCTCCTTTTACAGAGGAGTGTGTATAACAGGGTGCTTTAAACAAATAAGGTGATTTATAGGCTGCTCAGTACACTTATGTGGAAATATCCTCTATTCCACAAGACAGAAATTAAATTATTGGTGTGGTTTAAGTAACAAAAAGACTTATACCAGTAAGTGGAGCGCTCCAACACATATACAGCTTACCAAATGGTATTTCATTCAATGGTAGAGTATAGGGTGCATGTTAAGAAAAAAATACAAGGAATACAATATAGTGCAGACGGTATTTAAAATAATAATGTAATTGTAGTGATGATATCTGGATAAATTGAACACTCACATTTCAAGGAGCCTGTATGTGAGAACACTGGCTCCGTATTTTGGCTTATGTGCTTATTAGGGTAGCACCGCCCGTCTCCTTCGATATGGGGTAGTTCTCAAAGACAAAAACACATTGGTTTGCTCTTCCTGTTTTTGTCTTTGAGAACTACCCCATACCGAAGGAGACAGGCTATGAGGAACTGACTCTGCTGGGTTTTGAACCCTGGTTTACATGGTGCTAAACCTCTTCCTTACCAGTACACCAGCCTGCCTTTTGCAAATTTACCTGAGATCTGATACCATTGTTTGTAGAGTCAAGGTTATCAGTGACAACTCTCTTCAGCTGTGTCTGGTCAGGTGTCTGGTTCTTGGCCTATAAAAGCCACTTCCTGTCTCTGTACCTTTGCCAGATTATTGTGGTTCCTGTACTCTCTAATCAAGCGTGTTCCTGTTTCTCCTTCCTGTTGCTGAATTTGGACTGTTTTGACTTTGCTGCTTCTCCTTCCCACTGACCTCGGCTTGCCTCACTACGATTATCATCTTTCTGTTCCAGTCTCCCATCTCTGCTTAAGACCAGAAGGCCACTCAAGGCTCAGGGGCTCAACCACCTGGGTAACGAGTGGCTACCTCTGGCAGAAAACATTGCTGATCTGGCTACTGGACTCCAAAACTTTGTAACATCAATATCATTACACGGGCGGTTCTACCCTAATAAGCACATAAGCCAAAATACGGAGCCAGTGTTCTCACATACAGGCTTCTTGAAATGTGAGTGTTCAATTTATCCAGATATCATCACTACAATTACATTATTATTTTAAATACCGTCTGCACTATATTGTATTCCTTGTATTTTTTTCTTAACATGCACCCTATACTCTACCATTGAATGAAATACCATTTGGTAAGCTGTATATGTGTTGGAGCGCTCCACTTACTGGTATAAGTCTTTTTGTTACTTAAACCACACCAATAATTTGAAGAATTAAACTACCTACAAAATAAAATGTACATTTTACATATTGGGCTCTGGCTGTACTCATTATACAGGGAGTGCAGAATTATTAGGCAAGTTGTATTTTTGAGGATACAACCCAAAAAACTCATTAATATCAAAGCTGAATATTTTTGGAAGTAGTTTTTAGTTTGTTTTTAGTTTTAGCTATGTTAGGGGGATATCTGTGTGTGCAGGTGACTATTACTGTGCATAATTATTAGGCAACTTAACAAAAAACATATATACCCATTTCAATTATTTATTATTACCAGTGAAACCAATATAACATCTCAACATTCACAAATATACATTTCTGACATTCAAAAACAAAACAAAAACAAATCAGTGACCAACATAGCCACCTTTCTTTGCAAGGACACTCAAAAGCCTGCTATCCATGGATTCTATCAGTGTTTTGATCTGTTCACCATCAACATTGCGTGCAGCAGCAACCACAGCCTCCCAGACACTGTTCAGAGAGGTGTACTGTTTTCCCTCCTTGTAAATCTCACATTTGATGATGGACCACAGGTTCTCAATGGGGTTCAGATCAGGTGAACAAGGAGGCCATGTCATTAGATTTTCTTCTTTTATACCCTTTCTTGCCAGCCACGCTGTGGAGTACTTGGACGCGTGTGATGGAGCATTGTCCTGCATGAAAATCATGTTTTTCTTGAAGGATGCAGACTTCTTCCTGTACCACTGCTTGAAGAAGGTGTCTTCCAGGAACTGGCAGTAGGACTGGGAGTTGAGCTTGACTCCATCCTCAACCCAAAAAGGCCCCACAAGCTCATCTTTGATGATACCAGCCCAAACCAGTACTCCACCTCCACCTTGCTGGCGTCTGAGTCGGACTGGAGCTCTCTGCCCTTTACCAATCCAGCCACGGGCCCATCCATCTGGCCCATCAAGACTCACTCTCATTTCATCAGTCCATAAAACCTTAGAAAAATCAGTCTTGAGATATTTCTTGGCCCAGTCTTGACGTTTCAGCTTGTGTGTCTTGTTCAGTGGTGGTCGTCTTTCAGCCTTTCTTACCTTGGCCATGTCTCTGAGTATTGCACACCTTGTGCTTTTGGGCACTCCAGTGATGTTGCAGCTCTGAAATATGGCCAAACTGGTGGCAAGTGGCATCGTGGCAGCTGCACGCTTGACTTTTCTTAGTTCATGGGCAGTTATTTTGCGCCTTGGTTTTTCCACACGCTTCTTGCGACCCTGTTGACTATTTTGAATGAAACGCTTGATTGTTCGATGATCACGCTTCAGAAGCTTTGCAATTTTAAGAGTGCTGCATCCCTCTGCAAGATATCTCACTATTTTTGACTTTTCTGAGCCTGTCAAGTCCTTCTTTTGACCCATTTTGCCAAAGGAAAGGAAGTTGCCTAATAATTATGCACACCTGATATAGGGTGTTGATGTCATTAGACCACACCCCTTCTCATTACAGAGATGCACATCACCTAATATGCTTAATTGGTAGTAGGCTTTTGAGCCTATACAGCTTGGAGTAAGACAACATGCATAAAGAGGATGATGTGGTCAAAATACTAATTTGCCTAATAATTCTGCACTCCCTGTACGTTTGACTCCAGATCATTATAAGTAGTCATTGTTTACAAGCGGCAAATGAAGACTTACAAACAAAAACCATGGGTGTGATAGTGGGCGAAGTTTGCGTGAATGTGTGGGGAAAAGAACAAAACACAAAAAAAAGCATATAGTTTTACCTGAGCCGATATATCCATTCTCTCAGTGTGTCCTGAAGACTGATGTTGATCACCATGTGAAGGTGTTGGAGATGGAATAGGAGGTGTCTCCAACGTTACATCGGTGACATCAGTTTCTGGAACTGGTGCAGTTGTTTCATCTTTATTAATAAAGTTTTCTTGTTCGATTAGTGCCTGCAAACGTTCTATCTCATTCTCGATGTCTTCAAGCTTTTCCTGCAATGCCTCAAGATATTTAAGGTTTTCTGGAGGGCCTTTGGAATATGCCAGGAACATATTCTCTGCACCTCGCTTCACCTTAAGCTCAATTTCGAGCTGTTTTTGCAGTGCAGTTAAATTCCCATTGTCTGCAGGGGCACTTGGGTCACCTTCAAGAGCAACTGAGGTCTTGGAACATACTGGAAAATTAGTAATAAGACAAAACCTAATTAGAAATGCTGGCAGCTGGTACTATTCTGTCCAAGTTAAAATAAAAATGTAGTTATGCCACTTTTGTTGACACAAAAAGCAGCAATCTAGGATCTAAAGTAATTTTTGGTACACAAACCCTATAGTCACTGGTGTAGCGTGGGCTGGCCCCAAAATTTAAAAAGGAAAAAAAAAAGAAAGGAGTAGTAATATATTTTTAAAAATAGCGCGCCCTCCCACTCACCCAGAAAATCTCCCAATGTTCAAACATTATACAGTTTTTCAGCATGACAGGGAAAATAAACATCACTTCATCACATTTTACAGTAGTTTGCTTGCTAATCACAGCCATACTGTCCTTCTGTAATTCTTATCGGTGAATTACATAATTCCTATTAATAACGTGATTTCCTGTTTAAAGATAACACCAGAAATCACTCTTTAATAGGCATTATGTAAATGCCCATTACATGTTATCATAAAAGTATGCCATTAACAGGCGCCTAAATAGCCTCACTCCTCTTCCCTGCCCGCCTCATCTCCATGATGTGTGTGTGGCACTGATAGATGTGTTGCGTCATTTTTAAAATCCATCTCACGCCTAAAGTAATGTGTATAGACTAGGGTTAGAGGGTGCAATACATGCCTTGCCACAGGTGCTGACAATCCATGCTATGCCACTGCCGATACCACCCGTTATCCTACACCAACCCTGTTAACTCTACATTCATTCTAACAGTACACTACCCTAGCCTTAACCCTATACTATCCCTAACCCACCCTTTAACCTCACCCTATACTAACACTGAGAAAGCCAGGTAGATTTTGGCCTGCATCCATTAGCTATCCAAAGTGGCAGGAGTGCGGCTATGGGTGTTAACCTGCCTTACCCCTTCCCAATGAGCGTTATTAATTATGTAAGAGAGTAAATGAGTTATATCACGAGGTATGCCACTCATTCATTTTAGAGGAACTGTTACAGTTCCCAAATAGATGAGAAGAGATAGTAGACATGTAGCAAAGGCATTGTGTCAGAGAATGTAACACCAAACTGGAACCGAACATGTCGGCTCTTATCAGACTGCAGGAGGGTAACACGGCAAGTTAAAGATTGGTTCAGTCACCATGGAGGTAGATATAAACATTTTATAATGTACCTGAACGTTCCTCTGCTCTTTGCTCAACATCATCAGATTTTTTGCATCTTGTGCGCTGAAAAGACAGAAACAAAATCAGAAAACCAAAACCATTTTGCAAGAACGTTGCAAGCACTTTGATGAAAAAACTCAACATATATAGAGTCCATTCCCTCGCTGCCACATGGGTCTGTGATACAGTTTAAATTATTATAAGTGACCTCAAATACAGACATTAGTTTACTTAAAGCAAGATACCACTAAGATACCGTAGTAATTATGGCACACCTCCAAACCATATTCTTAATGGTATTACTTATTCTCTGGGGTTCTCAATTCATTGTCCCACAACTCCTCTCAGCTTTAGGCTCCTTGTCAATATATATCCCAAAACAACAGTGCACATGTACCATATACTATTATTATAATTATTAAATTCTAATCGCATACGCAATTAGCCGTAGAGACCGAGAAAAAATAGCTCCCACCAAAATGTATTTAAAGAGTTTCTTTGTATACCATACCACTTCAGTTTGATGAAGTGGTCATGGTGTTTGAAGTCTGTATGCACAGCATTTCGGTATAAATACAGAACTATTTTATAATTCTGCTGTGTACGTTATTAGTACGTCATTAGCCAGTACCTTTAAGTGAAATGGTGGGCTTATGGCTACAAATGTATTTAACTATAAAGAACAAAGTAAAATGGGGAGTCCATAGGCTGCCATGGGAATTTAAACATAAAATATTAAGTTAAGGGGTTCAGAGAACTAGTGTTGTTTGGGTTAACATTTTAGAGCTCCCAGTTAATGGTAAGTAAATTGGTAACCTTTGGTCCCTTTCTAGAGGCTAACTAATACAGAGAGAATATTTCCAAGCTCTTTTCAGTTTATTTTAAAATTTACATCTACTTGCTGTTTGGTGAATAAACGTCTTAGTGATTTAGGCTACCGTTGTCTTATAGCATTTGAATATTTTTAGTTTCCTTTGTAGTATATATGCTAAAACTACAGTGCACATGCACCATGTACTAGTATAATATAATTTGAAGTATTCTAATTCTAATCACATGTACTATTAGCTGTAGGAAAGATAGCTCCCACCAAAATGTATTTAAAAAATTCCTTCAAGCACCTTACCACTTCAGTTATATGAAGTGGTCATAGTGCTTGAAGACTGTATGCGCAGCATTTTAATAGAACTATTTAATAAGGCTGCTGGAGGTGTACATTATTAGTACGTCATTAGCCAGTACCTTTAAATTAAATGGTGGGTTTATGGCTTAAACACGTTTTAAAAATATATTTAACTTCCTCGTTTTGTAATATTGTAAACTACTGCGATATATGCTGGCGCTATATAAATGCCAATAATAACTTTAAAGAACAAAAAAAAAAAAAGGGAGTCCATAGGCTGCCACGGGAATTTAAACATAATATAATAAGTTAAGGGGTTCATAGAACTAGTGTTGTTTGGGTTAACATTTTAGAGCTCCCAGTTAATGGTAAGTATAAGAAACAAAGAAATCTACTTACTTTTCTAAAGCACAAGCATCGGAAACAAGAGAAAATATTTCTCGCTGCCATTTTTAGTTACTTGATCACTACAAAAGCTAAGCAGTGTCAACTGTCCAAGCAATGTCTAGTGAATACTGTAAACTGTGGCCATCAGGCATGATGCTGCAATGATGTCACTATGATGTTACACAGGTCACAGGTCCACACCTCACCAGCATGTCATAATACACAATCTATCAAATCTGATTATTGAAGTATCTATGTTTAAATATGTATATACTATATTATTATACAACATTTAGAGGTCCATTCATTAAACTGTGAATTGTAATACATTGAAAAAACAAGTTGAAAGATCTAGACTAAAATCTAGGGGACACATTGGTAACCTTTGGTCCCTTTCTAGATCCAATAAAATAGTTTAGCTTTGTAGTGACAATAAAACAATAGTCTAATGCACACTATAAAAAGGAGTACCAGAAAGGGAGAGAACAAAGGAATAATATCCTTTTATTAGGAACAAATATAGTGGAGACAACGATTTTGGTTTACACACTAGTGTTTTGGGGTGTTGACTCTCACCAGTTTTTACATATTAGAAATGTATCATTAAAAGTTAAGTTTTAATATTCACGCATTAAGGTTGCACGTTAAAGGGACTCTCCAGTGCCAGGAAAAAAGGTCGTTTTCCTGGCACTGCAGGTCCCCTCTCCCTCCCACCCCATATCCCCGATTGCTGAAGGGGTGAAAACCCCTTCAGTCACTTACCTGAGACCCCCGCCGATGTCCCTCGGCGGTTGTTTCGGGTCGCCGCCGCTCCTCCTCTTCATTACGTCAGCCAGCGGGGGAGACTGATCCCGCCTACCGGCTGAGGAGACCTAATGCGCATGCGCATTAGAGCTCTCCATAGGAAAGCATTGAAAATGCTTTTCAATGCTTTCCTATGGGGAATTGAGCGATGCTGGAGGTCCTCACACAGCAGAAAGTGCCCTCTAGTGGCTGCCTAGTAGACAGCCACTAGAGGAGGAGTTAACCCTGCAAGGTAATTATTGCTGTTCATAAAAAACTGCAATAATTACAGTTGCAGGGTTAAGGGTAGTGGGAGTTGGCACCCAGACCACTCCAATGGGCAGAAGTGGTCTGGGTGTCTGGAGTGTCCCTTTAAGTTCTCTACTGTACCCTTACTGTTTCCTGCAACTAGTAGGGTATTCCACTCCATAGGATACTCTACCAATATCCTTTCTCTCCTGTTCCCCTCACACTTTGGTGCACTAAATAAACTGGTAACTGGGGGCACGCACCGCTTTTTTTAACCAAATATTATAGCAAAGCGATTTTCATTAAAAAGCAATTAATAAACATTATCAAAACTGCACGAATGTTAAAAGGTATTTTAAAAACAAACAAACCTAAAATAATTTCTAAGCACTGAAAATCTTAAATACAGTAGCTAACACAAATCATAATCTAAAGATTTTTTTTTTTTAATATATAGTAAAACCTAAACACTTTTATAAAAAGTGTTTTCATATCAAGCATTTTGTCAGCTGTGAGAGTAAGACTGTAATCTGACACAAAATAAATTCGGTATCCGATACACAGGTAGAACTACTAGGAAATTACATGTTAGCTAATAGAGCATTTTAACTTTATATATGTACCTAAACATTGAAATTAATGTAAAGAGTTCTGTTTCAACATTTTTGTTCAGAAATAGGCTTAGTAGTCCCACATTGGAGAGGGGGGGGGGATACTGAAAACATCCTCACTAAAAAAGAAACGGAATGGATCCACAGATTGAAACGTTAGTACCTTTGCATCTTGGATTTAGATACTTTGGCATTTATGGAATAGTCATAATGTTTTAAAGGGTACTTATTTTAAATTCACGTTTTTTCTTGTGGTAAATATTATTTGGTTGAAACATAAGACTTTGTTGAACCTGTCAATAAAACAGCAAGGAACTTGCATATCCTAAATACACGTATTTGATAAAGGCCTCTGTGTAGACCTTTTTGTTCCAATAGACCTGCCTTTCTGCAGCAATCCTGAGTGGCTGGACCTAATTTATTTAACCTTCTAAACTGGGTTTTGCCAACCCTGGCCCTGATAAGCACCTGGATTCCCAAGTGTGAGTGCGGTATCCTCCGTCTGTGAATTACTAAATATACATATGCCAAATAGAGAACACATAAGTCTTAACATAGACATGATTTTAAATTCACTGAGTGATAGTTATTTTTGTCATTTTCTTTTTTTTTCTTAGATTTCAGATTTTAGCAGGTCCTAACTGTTCAGTCAAGGGGATTTTTTTTTCTGTTTTTTTATTGAGACATTGTATTAGGCAATACAGAATAAAGAGAGAAGTATCATGCAAATATACAGACATAAATAATGCAGAAGATGTATATACTCCCGAGCAAACAGTGTCATATCGTTTGCTTGTTTTTTGTGAAATAAACAAAGGTAAAAACATGCTGAACATACTAGAGTAAAGTAAAAGCAGGCTAGTTCCAGCAGCTAAAACATGTAAATACCACAAGGTTGATAGGCAAGGTTATAGCAGTCAGGTCACAGTACTAGGAGTTAGGTCACAGTGTTAACTACACTATGAGATATCAGCCAAACTGCCATGAATGCCCCTATGCCCTTCAGCTAATGCCCGAAGATGTAGAGTCACAGCCCTCCCTCTTTAGAATGTTCTCAGAGAAGCCCCCACAAGGAGCCCCATCCGCCAGATGGTCTGCTTTGATCAGCTCCAAAAAAGTTATTATGTCTGCAGAAATTGCTTGTGTCTGCGGTGTTGTTCCCCCTGTGCGCCTGGCCACACGAAGTGGAAGCCTCCGGTTCGGGCCGGTCCCGCTGGGAGTAAAGGGGCTTGTTCATCTGCAGGCAAGGTAAGCGGTAGTGAGCAGACAAGCCTGTGTTGCTTCGATGTGGAGAGACGTGGTAGAGATATATGTACTTGGAAATGGTCGACAGGACAGCTCAGGGTGTACCACTGGTTCGTCAACAGGAAAGTAGGCGAGTTCCCTGCCATAGAGCTTCCCACAAAAATACTGCAGATGCGGTCAACTGCCAGGAGTATTGGTTCCACAAGCGTGGGTGGTGTGCTCATGGCAAGTCTGGGATAGTGACCATTTTGGTTGATAGGCCTCAACTCCTTAACTGGCGGTAAAGTAGCAGAGCCTGGTGAGGTGGATGTATCAGAACACTAGTGAGCAGGGCCGGACTGGGAATAAAAAGCATTCCTGGAAAAATCTTATACCAGCCCTATCATTAATTGTGCCAGCTGTGACAGATATACAGTTACAATTATTTAACCCCTTCAGGACCGCTGACGGTTCAGGATCGTCAGCAGTAAAACGTGTTTTTGGACCGCTGACGGTCCTGAACCGTCATAGCAAAAAACGGGCTGCGGGAAGCGATCAAAAATCGCTCCCGCCAGTATAACGCTGTAACTATCTGCCAGACATCCCAAGCAGATAGTAACAGCCAATTGCAGCGTGTGAGCGACCTGCAATTGCTCACAATTGGCTGCTGTCAAAGTGGGTGTTACAAACACTCACTTTGACAGTGATCTCTGCCCCTCTCTCCTCTGTAGCGTTTTGTGAGGCGAGAGAGACAGAATCGTGATAGTTTGTTGCAGCAGAAGTGTTCCAGAGCTTTATACAGTATCTAAAGTGAATAAAAAATAATTTTTAACCCCTTCCCTGCCAGATCTGTTACAGCAGTGCATTTGTACTGTCTGTATTTTTTTTTGCCCTTAAAGGGTTAAATTTGTTTTAAAAATCTGTATCTTGGTCTGTCTTGGTCTGTCTTAGTCAGTCAGTTTCCTTCCCCCAAATCTCCATTAGATTTTTGTGACAGGAGTTAGTTTAGGGATTGCTGTTTAGTCTGTTTTAGTAAAAAAAAAAAAGTATAAAAAAATATTTGTGTGTTTGTAATTTGTTTTAGTCGTGTGTAAAACATGCAGCGTATGTATAACTTGCAGGAGGCATATGGCTTCTTGGCGTCAGACTCTGACGCCACTGACACTGCGTCAGATTTTGACCCAGGTCAGTTTTCTGACACGTCTAGTCAAGACGACATGTCATCTGTGTGTGAGCCGGCTGAAGAAAGAAGCTGTGCTTCCTCTGCTACGCCGAATGTGGAGGAGGACTGGGTACCTCCACTGTTAGCTGAGCCCAACGTCTCCCCCTTTTAGTACCAACGCAGGCATTAATGTTAATTTGGATGGCTTCTCCCCAATGCAGTATGTAGAACTATTTTTAGGGGATACCATCTGGGAGGAGATTGCTTCCCAGACTAACTTGTATGCTACCCAATTTATTGCTAACAATCCAGGTAGGGCTCTTACAATGCTCATGGGGATTATAAAGAAGCCATCGATTCGCTCATACTGGAGCACCAACCCAATAATGTCTAGTCCAGTATTCTCCCAAACCATGCCTAGAGCCAGATACGAGTTACTGCTGAGATTTTTACATTTCATTGACAATACCCTCTGTCACCTTAGAGATCACCCCCAATACGATAGGCTTTATAAAATATGCCCACTGCTAGACCATTTTCAGGACAAATTTTCGGATTTTTATACCCCCCAACAAAATTTATCCATAGATGAATCTATAATGAAATACAAAGGGAGATTAGGGTTCAGACAATACATCCCCTCAAAGCGCTCTAGGTATGGCATAAAACTGTATGTTACGACACGAACCGCCAGGTAAATGAAGCCGCCGTTTAGTAAATAATCCCCTTCTCCAGAAATGCAGTTTAAATCCAGCCGACCGCCAAACTCCCGAACGAAGTCCACGAACACGGCAACTCCCGATCAGCAAAACAGTCGAACGCCTTCCACAGCTAAAAATAACGAAAGCGCTGTCCCAGTAATAATTCCCCCACAAACGAGACCAAGCTCCGTCTTGAGGGTCAAATGAAGATCTGTTTAATGGGGGCTACCTGCCCGGTATTTATGCAGGTCTCCACAAGGTGGACACTCCCCGAGGGGACCTTGTGGAAGACTGTAAAACATATTGGACAGTAGCCAATCGCAGTGGCTTCAA